TGAAGAAGGCCCCCGTGAACGGCCCGGCTGCGTGGGAAGAGAAGCACGGCCGTCAGCCTCGCTTGCCTCCTTTGAGGGACGGACCAAGAGCTGGGCCAGGAGACCCGCGAGCCCTCCTGCCTGCCGGGGGCATCTCTGCTGCTGCCCAGCTCCCGCAGCCGCTTCTCTCGGACCCTGTAACAGCAGCACACGGGGAAATCCCACCCTCGTCGCCCCGAGCTTTGCGGGACCGAGGGGTTCATTAGGGGAGGTTCGAAGAAAGGGCTTGCCGTCTTGGGGCAAGCTATGGCTTCTCATGCACCGGCATTTCACCTGCTGCCTAGATATCCTAAACTGTCGTCTCCAACCCAAAACAAATACTCCCCAAAGTAAGTGGACAACAAACGTCTTCATAATCGTTATTTCTCCAGTCCCAGGAGAGGAAAAAGGGACCGCTCCTCCCACCACAAATTAGGTCTTTTTCTAAATGACTTAGAAAAAGAAAGGCCGGTGCTGCTCACCTGTGTAGGTCAGGAAGGTGACGGCTGCTGCCAGGGCAGGGACCCGGTACATGGGGTGGCTCTGGTGCAACTTGTAAAGGACCAGGTGGAAAAGGAACGAGCAGGTGCCTTCCACAAAGGCGGCATGGCACGGAGACGTGCGGATGGAGGAGCTGCACTCCGACGCTATCAGGTTTTGGATGAGGTGGAAAGGCGTCAGCTCCCAGGACCAGTAGAGCTTGGTGACAGCCCAGCCCACCCCCGTGCCCGCACCCTGGGCCAGCAGCTTGGCAGCAGTTGCGGCGAGGTTGGACTCGCGGAGCAGGAACTCCTGGAGAGAGACGGTCGGGTTGGCAGATGCCCCATCGAAAGAGGCGCCGTGAATCGCGAAGAGGAAGAAGAACAGAGTCAGGACCACATCTGGGCCAAAGCCACCACCCCACGGGCCGATCTCCACCAGCATCCTCAGCTCAAGGCAGCTCGTGCACAACTGTAAGGAGCCAGCAAGTTCTCTGGCAAGGCAGCCATATGCTCCAGGAGACAGAAGCCTCTTTGAGATCCGCCTGAGCGCCTCGCACACCCCGACAACCAGGAAAAAAAAAGCAACGGAGACGTTCAGGCCAGCCATAGCCAAGGCTGCGCCGGTGGGGAAGGGACTGGAAGGAGCAGAGAAAGCTCCTGCGCCTCCTCTTTATAAACCCGTGTGTAAGCAAACGTGGCGCAGCCCGACGGGCTTGGGAAACACCGCACGTGCCGCCCTCCCCTTTGCAGGGCCATGCCGGCCGCCACGGGGAGCCGATGGACTCGCCCGCAGCTGGACCAGCAAGCGGGTCCCGGTGCTATCTGCCCTGCGGCTGCGGAGCCTCCGACCCCCAGCGTTCGCACCTGAGAGCCTGCAGCAGCTCCCCGGAGCAAAAAACTTCATTTCGTTTCTACTTGACACCGCAAAACGCCCCAATCCCGAAGCCTGGGACGTGAGCGGGACTCTGAAAGCCAGCAACCCATGCAAGGAGTTCACATTTCTCCAGGGCTGAGCCACTCTGAGCCAAAGAAAAGTCCGTCTTTGGCCAGTTTAAAAGCCCAGCTTGCTTACTGCTTCCTATCCTTGTCTTGAGTAAGACCTCACCTCGTTTGGTGGCGGTGGCACTAATTGCACGTGCCATTGGTCTGCAGGTAGCATTCTAGCGACGGTGACATTTCACATCCTCCTGCCACTAACACGTCTATCAGGGACAGGACCCTTCCCAGCTCCACCAAAACCACCCCAGGGTGCCGTCATTACCTGACTTCTGAAACCCACGCCACCTAAACCTCTAAATACAGTTGGGTTACACCTTTGAATACACAATGGAGCTGACAGCAAGTGTAGATGACAAAATATGTTTGCTCCAGTAGTTGCATCCCCTGTGCCAGCTCCCACCAGGTCGCTGGGGACCCCCAGACTCCCACCACTGGGGTCTGCAGGAAGAAAGGGGACAGCGAGCGATGGAGAGCATGGGAGCAGCAGAGGCCACGGCAGGAAGGGTGGGATGGGGCAGATAACGTCATGTTATCAGGGACTCATGGTTAACAGAGCATAAACAACTCGTTGGGTGTCCTCTG